ATTATTTTTCCTTTAAAATTTTATAATATTCCCCTCCTTTTTAAATGAGTTTCATTCTACTTTGATTTAATTATGTTTTTATAGCTATCGGCACTGGTCTATTAGCAGGAGGTAAGTATGTATTTTAAATATTTTACCCTTTGAAATGTTATAAAGAAATGAGATATCCTCACTTGTCTTAAATTTGCTAATAGATCGAGGATCTATTTGAAATTTATTTATAAATTTAAAAATATTGTGTTATTTAGATTATTATGAGCGAGCATCAGCCTCATTCATCAAGAAACTACTCAACTGGGTTAAAAAATGAGAAAGGTAAAAAAAGTGAATTATTAATTATTACCCATATTGGTAGTGAAGAGGAATTTCCCGAAAGCGGAGAGTGGGTATTCGAAGCAAAAAAAATCAGGAGGTGATGTTTGAAAAATGGTTTTTAACGAATATTGACTAAAATTCAATCAGGCTTTGTAATATTAATCGATAATGCCCTATACCATTCTCGCCAACTCGAAACTGTGACCAACATAAGCTCGAAATAGACGCTATTCAAGCATGGCCAAGGCTCAAAGAAGCATTGGCAAGTATTGGAGCAGAACAATGGAAGGAAATGCGTAAGTCACGTCTTAAAGAAAGAAGAGGAGATAAAAAAGTTGGATAGAATCATAGATGTAGCAACTGATGCTGGAATAGAGCCCTTTGTAATAAACGTTCAAGGTGACACTTCAGAAAGCGATGATTCTGAATAAAACCATTTATGTATATATGTATAGGTAAATTTGTATAATATTTATACAGGGTGACTGGTGAATTACTATCAATATTTAAGGAGAATACTCGGAACATGATTCTCATTCGAATTATGTAAAAAAATAGGTACTTAATTTTTGACCAAATTTCCGTATAAATAAATAAGGTGTGGACACGTTCCAAGTGTGGACGCGTGATCGTGTGTGGTGTGTATACCTAATCTGTAGGGTGTTCACACGATGCGTAATTAATAACATAACTTTGGTTAACTTTACTCATAAGTTTATTAATATTTATGTTATATTAATTTTTATTCTGTCATATATGATCGTCAAATATCACGTCCTCAAGTATCGATAGTAATTCACTAGTCACCCTGTATAAATATAATAATCAAGATTAAAGTATTTTAAAGAGTGCTCACATCAATAGTGGCACAGACAAGTCTTTCTCAATATCAGCTTTTGTTTGTTTACGATTGCCAGTTTCTATTGAAATGAAGTATAAATGTTTAATGAAGCATTCCAATTTCTTATCACATCTCGTCTTTGTGATCACGGTTGCTGAAAAGTAACCGAAACATCGGGAGTATGCAGTTTTACAATAATGAAATACTCGAAGTATAATACGAAAAATATTTGATTCATTTAAATGAATACTCGCGAAAGACTAAGATCTCATTAAGAAGCTGTACCACGAATTAATTGTTCCTAATGTAAATTATGATTAACTAGCTTTCCGCCCGCAACTTCGCCTGCGTGGAGTTCGGTTATATAGCGTTTCCAAGAGAACCTTTTAAAAGTCTTTGATTAAAAACTATCCTATATTCTTCTGAAGGTCAAACTCTATCTCTGTACTAAATTTCATTAAAATCAGTTCAGTGGTTTAGGCGTGAAAGCGTAACAGACAGACAGAGTTACTTACGCATTTATAATATTAGTAGGGATAATATCAAAGTATTTCATAAAATAATTCTGCTATAGAAGACTCGTCAGGTGAATATTTCTCATCCAATCCAATTCCCAATCCTACCTCTCCCTACTTTGTAACAAGTTCAATTAAATATAAGAGTAAATAAAACATCTGCCATGTTTAACAATTAGCGAAGTCCTTGACAATCCAATTTTTATCAATTATCAATATTACATGTGCGAGTATTTAGCATGTGGACATATTGTAATATTACACGAAACTTTATTAGAATAAATGAAACTAATATTTTACTACAAGCATTTTATTATTTTTAAAACTATTTGCTCCCAACTTTTCTTTTCAGCAACCGAAACTTCGGGGCAAATAGTTTTAACATAGTAAAATTCGTATAGTATAATCCGAATAATATTAGTATCATTTAAATGAATACTCGCGAAAGTTTTGACTCTTTATTAGGATGTGTTTTCTATATTTTCAAGCAAGACCTACTTAACAAATTTTAATATAATTTTAAGAATCATCAGAACAATATACATATTCTTGTTAATTCAAAGCGTAATAGATGTATTTTATTCAAAGACGCGTAACACGTGCATTAAGTATCGCTGCCGGTTAGATACTAATCTTTTAAAGGTTACAGATAGCTCTTTGAATCTATTTCCGAAATCTATGTATGACAAGATAATCAGAAGCAAAGAAAATAGATAATATATAACAGAAATATCTAGAATAAAATAAAAATAATATTTTTCCGATTTACTACCGTGATCACTGGTGATGCAACTTAACCGAAACGTATGAAGTATGTAGTTTAAAATATTTATAAAAACTTAGTAAATAAGAAAAATATTAATTTTATTTCAATATGAAAGTCTTAGATATTTACTATAGAATACACGATGTTGCCAACATAACTAAACATAGATATACCTCTTTTTAAGCTTGTTATTAAAGAGTCTTATAATGGAATACAATATAATATTTACAGTATTTAAAAAAAACTGTGTTGCCAGTTAATTATTATAAGTATTACTTTTATGATATTAATATCTTTACCGCTTGCCAGTTGCCACATTATATAAATAAGTATTAAAGTTGTAGCCAAATATTGGTTTTATTTTATGAGATTTCGTAGAAAAAATTATCTAAAAGGTACATTGAAATTTAAATCGCGCTCAGTTTCCATTTATCAGATAAATATCTCTTAGATACTTCTCAACTGCTTATCATTTCGTTCCATAAAAGCATTTACTAAATTATATATAAATATATATATACTGTATTTATGGTATTATCTAAGATATAATTTGTTATCAAAAAGGTTTCTTTATGACCGAAACCTTTTTGTATCATTTATTTTATACATTCGTTAAAATACATGATCATATGGAGCAAAGCATTGTTGCTATGGATACATACGTTTCTATATTTAGACGATAATAACATTTGGCACAGACTTGTCTTTATTTAAGGTAGAAATAAAAAATAATATGAAAATTAAGTATATTGTATCGAAAAAAAACAGTCATTCAATCTTACCAAAAATATTACAAGCTATATATATATATATACAAATTAATTGCTTTCTTCAACGATTATTAATCTTTATCTATGGCTATTGTTATTAATGGTCACGGTCGTATAATTATTTCTAATTCATTAAATTAGTCATATTATTGAAAGATGAATAATATTTTTCGTATTCACGATAACTCTGGACAGCCATCGCGATAGTGGAGGCTAAATGTTACACACAGAGCAAACTAAACAACAACGTCCTAATATTTGTTCAAAATATTCTTGTATAATGAAATCTTTAAAAATATATCCATAGATATTATTTGTGTTCTATTTTTAAAATATTAAAGCATAGATTATTGAGTTTTATTTTCATTGTGAAAACGCGCAAAGATAGAAATATGATACTTATTGCAACTCTTCTTCTTCTACCTGGCAATTTCCCAGCTTTAGCCAGGGTAGATCTTACATGTTGTGAATAGTTTCGTTTAATTGTTTTTACGACAGGCCACCTGCCTGATATCAACCCTCTTTGGGAATAAATACTCATAGCAACAACAAATATGTTATATTTTCGAAAACTACTTCTATATACATTTATTAATGAATATTTGACTCAACTTCTTTTGTTCAAAGCTGTTTAGACACCAATTTACACACAATCTCTTATGGAAATTTTATATTGCTTTTAAGAGCTCCATTAAAACATACATAGTGATAAAAAATATTAAATAAACAACTAATATTAAATTTATTACCTATGAAAGAATATAGATATAAAAATTTATAAATTAATAAGAATAATAGTAATTGTAACATAAATGGCAATAAAATAATACATATATTACAGACAGACTAAGAGATAAGTATATTTACTCCCATGTTCTAACAATATTATGATAAAAAATATTATCTTTAGATAAAGACGAGATGTGTAGAATTTATCTCGAGAGCAAAATTCTTATAAAACCGATTGATCATGAGAGTTAAAAGCATAGATTTTAAATAAATAAATCACAAAAAAAAATTAATATTTAAAAGAATCTATAAGATTTAAATGAAACTAATATTTTCGGATTTTACTTCGCGTTTTATTTTAGCAACTACATACTCCCGACGTTTGGGCTACTTTTCAGCAACCGTGATCACAGGCAGACGAGATGAAAATATTAGTTTCATTTAAATGTGTACTCGCGAAAATCTTAGATCTCAGAATCTATAAGATATTAATTAGTACTAATATATACATTTTTTGTTATTTTTCTGTTAATTAAAACCACTATGATAGATCTATTAATGTTTTAAGGAAAAATATTTACTTACTCAGCTTTATTTCTTAAAATTGTTGCATAATTATCGTTTCCGACACAACCAAAGTATGTACACACATTTGGTTTCTTCAAAATCCATTGAGCCACTCTCAGTGTGTTTTGTACACTGCCACCAGCTAAATACTCCACATTGTATCTAAAAAAATATATAAATGAAATGAAATTATTATCTAACAGATAATTTCTATCTTTTTTTTTTTACTCAGACAGTGAAGGGAAACTTCGTGAGGAAACCTGGACTTATAATTACAAATTACAAGTTTGAAATTGCCAACCCGTCTTGAGCAAGTGTGGTTAATGCTCAAATCTTCTCTATGTGAGAAGTTTTTGCTCAGCAGTAGGCTCTGATATGATGATGATGATTATGTACAGGCTAGTTTAATATTATTCTACCTGATCATACATTTAAATATATTGGATGGTAAGGTAGTTAAATTCTATTAATAATTATTATAATTTATTAATTAAAACATATTATGTACTTCTCAGCGAGTTCTTTGTATAAGGGCATGTGTTTTTCTTCAGCCATGATAGCGTCATCTGGATGCAGATCATATTTCTTGAGCAAGTCCTCGTCTACTATAGCTGATATGTCCAAGAGTGGGTTCCCTATACCCACTAACTGACCCTCCGTTGCAGGAGAACTTGAAAAAATAAACAATCAAGTTTTAAATACGGAAATATTAACAGTATGAAAAAATTTTATAGTAAAAATATTTAATGACAAAAGTTAAAATAATATTTTAATAAATTATATATTATTTCAAGAACTACGTTTTATAAATTTTCAATTGTATGATCCCTTTAAGTGATACATATCCATTTCAATTGTATTAAAAAGCAGTTGTGCATAATTAGAAGTATGCTACGGCTGCATATTAATTTCACCACGAAAGGAAGTTTATTAAGAAAAAATATACTCACTTAGCAGACATTATTATGTAATATATATAAAATAACTTCAATTTATAATAAAACAAGACCGAGTTATGGGTTTAAGTATCTAAAATAATTTAAAATATGCAATCGCGCAAACAAAACACCGCATGTATTTTCTTAATATCAGAAAACGTGCTCATGCCGCACCAACTTAACGAAGAATAAAAATTTCGAAATTTATATTCTGTGACTTGACATTTGCTGTCAAAAGATATCCTTCCAACAGCTTTTTAATACCTACCTCTATACATAAAAAAAAATGGCACTTCGAAAAATTTGTTTTCCGGGACTATAAAATTAAAGATATTGTTTAAGTTTTACATATTTTCCAAAAATCATATTTCTAAAGTCTTTGGGAATAGATATTTAATATAACGTACATTATTGAGATATAAAATAATATAGATTTTCAAAGCAGACAAATAAACTTAAATAAAAATTTTATAAAATCATTGGGTAGATTAAAATGTAAAAGTTTGTATTTAATTAAGTAGTAATATATAAAATTACAAGAAAAAATATATTTAGTTACTATTTATTAATAGTCTAAAATCTATACTCTATATCGTAAAAAGAATTTATGAGATATGATAAATTATATAATCTGTAGACCTGTTATAACCTACAAAAACCGGCACACAGAATCACGTTTCGCGAATCCTGTGAGAAGCTTCGAGAAGTGAGAGCTCAGAGTATTCTGATCGTTCTCTGAAGTTAAATATTTCATTTAATTTAACTTAAAAAAGATGTTGCGCTTGCCTCGTGTTGTTCGTCAAACTCTCACCCTTCAGAAGAGCCACCAGCTATCAAGATTTTATGCTAAAGATGTGAGGTTTGGTGCTGATGTAAGAGCTCTCATGCTCCAGGGCGTCGATATCCTCGCCGATGCAGTAGCGGTTACCATGGGCCCTAAAGGTAGGAACGTCATATTGGAACAGTCCTGGGGTTCACCTAAAATAACCAAAGATGGTGTAACTGTTGCGAAAGGTGTGGAGTTGAAAGACAAATTTCAGAATATTGGTGCCAAACTTGTACAGAATGTAGCAAATAACACCAATGAAGAAGCCGGTGACGGCACCACCACAGCCACGGTCCTCGCCCGCGCTATTGCCAAAGAAGGTTTCGAAAAGATTTCCAAAGGTGCCAATCCGATTGAAATTCGCCGAGGGGTCATGATGGCGGTAGACGCTGTTAAAGAAAAGTTGAAGAACATGTCCAAGCCGGTTACCACACCTGAGGAGATCGCACAGGTCGCGACAATCTCTGCTAACGGCGACCTCGCCATTGGTAAACTCATCGCCGACGCCATGAAGAAGGTTGGACGTGACGGCGTCATTACAGTGAAGGACGGCAAGACTTTATACGACGAACTTGAAGTCATCGAAGGTATGAAATTCGATAGAGGTTATATTTCACCTTACTTCATCAACTCGTCCAAGGGGGCCAAAGTCGAGTTCCAGGACGCTCTAGTTCTGTTCTCTGAGAAGAAAAATCAGCAATGTGCAGACTATCATTCCTGCTTTGGAACTCGCGAACAGCCAAAGGAAGCCACTAGTCATTATAGCTGAAGACGTCGATGGTGAAGCTCTTTCGACCTTGGTTGTTAACAGGTTAAAGATTGGCTTGCAGGTTGCCGCTGTTAAAGCTCCAGGTTTCGGTGACAACAGAAAAGCTACTCTCAGTGATATGGCGATCTCTACCGGTGGTGTTGTATTCGGTGATGAAGCCAACCTCATTAAGATTGAAGATGTTCAGCTCTCAGACCTCGGCCAGGTTGGTGAGGTCGTCATCACAAAGGATGACACCCTTATCCTTAAAGGTAAAGGCAAAAAGGCTGACATTGACAGACGCGCTGAACAAATCCGTGACCAGATACAAGAGACCAACTCTGAGTATGAGAAGGAAAAACTACAGGAACGTCTTGCAAGGTTAGCCTCTGGAGTGGCCGTGTTACATGTAGGAGGCTCCAGTGAAGTAGAGGTCAACGAGAAGAAGGATCGTGTAAATGATGCTCTAAATGCTACCCGTGCCGCTGTCGAGGAAGGTATTGTTCCTGGAGGTGGATCTGCCCTCCTCAGATGCATCCCGACTCTCGAGGCATTAAAAACATCAAAAACTCTGACCAGGCTACTGGAGTAGAAATCATCAAGAAAGCACTGAAAATGCCCTGCATGACCATCGCACGCAACGCTGGCATTGACGGTTCAGTTGTTGTAGCTAAAGTAGAAGATCTCGGCCCCGAGTTTGGTTATGATGCCCTCAACAATGAATATGTCAACATGATTGAGAAGGGTATTATCGATCCAACCAAAGTTGTCAGGACGGCGCTCACTGACGCCAGTGGGGTAGCATCACTGTTAACCACAGCGGAAGCCGTCATCTGTGAGATCCCGCAGGAGAAGGAGCCCAACCCCATGGCCGGCATGGGAGGCATGGGTGGCATGGGCGGCATGGGGGGTATGGGAGGTATGATGTAAAGTGCCCATAGACTGCATTTAATAGTGTAAAGAACAATTACAATTCAATGATATGAATGTCAGTGCCGTGAATGAATTTTCTTTTATAATAGAGTCTGATTGAGTTAGAGTAGGAAGACTGCCCGTCTTAGAAATATTTAGTTTATATTTGCTTCAGTGGAGCATGGTGTTATTTTTAATAATAAATAATGTTGTTAATACCTTGTTTTATTTTTATCCTTTAAAATTATACTAAGTTTACTAATTTTTTATGGTTCATAAGTAATATCAATTCATTTCTGAGTTAACTTTTTTCTGCCAAGCTTTTTTTGCTTTTTCAATAGACATTTTGGTAAACTCATTGAAGAATAACTAAGTATCAAACAGTTGTAAAAAGAAAATAAATTCTATATAAAAAGCTATAAAAGTATTAAACCAACAAAAAAATTTTTGCTTCTGAAGAAATACGTTTAAATCTTATCTTTAAGTGGTAGGAGCAAGTAATATTCTTCATTATAATAGTGAATTGACCTTAATATATCTACATAATGTGTTCTCGCTGATAGCTAGACGTACATGTATGGGTAGGTATGTATTATGTAAAACTCATAGATAAGAACAAAGTTAATGCCAAAATTTACGTATTCACATAACTACTGAAGTTAAGAATTGTAATGGTGCCAAAAAACTAACAGATACTTATTTTAAATCACAATGTTAAAATTATTTAAGAATTTTGAAGTTATGCTGATGTACTTAGATTATACATTTCAGAAGTCAAAATTTTCAAATTGTGCTAAAATATATAATTGAAAGTAAATAATATTTTCTTAGTTAACTTATAAAAAATACACTACCGAGTCTTATCTAACCGGTAAATGTCATATTAATTTTATCAAATGAAATGTAGTTATTTAAACTGAATTATAACGCAAGTTTACGACTAGTGTTCACAAAGTTGTAAACTACAAAGCATTTACAACGCCGATATTGCATCATAATTACTAATGGTTACTTATTAGTTATGGCTTTGAATAATAACAATGAAGTCTACAACCTCTATAGAAGTTCATAGAACTCTTAGTAAAAGGAGACACCTATAAGACATTACTATACGGTCTATAATTTAATACAAGTACTTATCATACTAAGGTTTTAAACGTGGATGTGCATGAGCCATGACCCCACTGTTGCATTCTCTGTATTAATTTATGTAAGAATTATTAATTTCAGAGTACGAATATTTTTTCGCTTTAAGTAAGTTTGAATAATTTTTTAGTCCTCGTTAATGGAATGAGAAAAAATATCATTTATTTGCATTTGTACAGATAGCAGTGATAAGTGCCACAATACACAAAAAACCGTTCTTAAAATGTGACGTCTTTTTTTTATCTGTGTCTTAATTTTAGAATTAGTCTTATACCTATTTCATCGTTTTAAGTTCATAATAATTTGACACTATTCATTCTGATTTCCATAGTTTTTATTTTAAAATTGTGTGATTTCTCATTCAAGAATACTTTTTAATTATATAATATGTACATTGATGCTTGTCGAGACACTTCAGAACAATAATTATTTTGTTTTTGTATGAAGAAGTTGTCAAATATACTTATCAGATTGCATAATACGACATCTAATTTTATCAAAAAGCAATAAAAAGGTTTTATCCTCTGAATTTCTGATTTGTGAAATATTAGACTATCAATCCAACTAATTATATATAAACTATTCTAGTAAAAGCCTACTCACTTACTTAAGAAATTAAATGAATGAATGAAAACTTTGTATTGGTTAGAAATAATATATTTTATTTAATATAATAGTCATCTTTGTATACAGATTTATTTGTTATTGCTCAATATTACTATACTTAGACGTAAAGGTATTATAAAAAATATCTGTTCTTCGTCTGAATCTCCCGTGCCGTAAACAAAATGTCTTCTAACAACGTTTCCATCGGCTATAACATCCGTGGCGATGTTTTTGCAGGGCGTCACCGGGTATTTAACTGGGCCGAGCCATCGTCTGCTCATACCAAAGTTTCTTGGCAGAGCAACGTTCCTCGAGCCGCTTTACTATCAATACTATTGAGGGAAGACTTGATAGACTTCAGTGAAGTCTTGTTCATCACTTCATCATCATTTAGATAGTCATCTGGTATAGTGATATCTGTTGGTATACTTAAGCTAAGAGGTCGCCGTTTCGGTTTTTCCGTCAACTGCCCGCGCCATGTATTAAACTTGATATTATTTTTCTTCTGTGGCGTGTTTTCTTGTGATGATCCGACGTCTGATTCGTAAACTTTGTTCTCTGAGTGATATTTCTTTAAGTTCGACCAGTTCGGTGTGTTCTGCTTAGTGGATTTGTCTTGCATTTTATTTATAACTTTTTCTTTAGTCAATTTTATGAGAGCGTAAATAGTCTTTAAAGCTTCTTCGTTTATCAACTCATCGTCCGTCCCTTCTGCATCCAATGCACTTGCTATACTATGTCTTAAACTTTTCTGTAACTGTTGGGAATTATTGATATCTTTGAAATTCTTATTGTCTATGAAGTTATTCTTTGTAGTATTCTGTAAGACAATAAGTTCTACCTTCTCTGGAGCGCTCTGTAACATACTTAAACGCCTTATCATACTTCAGATTAAGTAGAGTTTGCCCGTTCACTGATATGATTTGATCTCCCGCCAAAAGTTTTCCACAACTGTCCGCTGAGCTTCCAGGGGTTATAGATTTTATGTACACATTACCGTCAGAGCCTTCAGCGACTTGCAAACCTAAGGCATTCATTTTGTCCCTTTCTAACACGGTAGTAACAAACACCCTCTCTCCTTGCACACATTCCATATTATCCAATTTTTTCGAATAACGAAGTATTTACACAGGATTCGTTGCCGGTATCGTAGTTGAATACGTCGGAGTAGACTTTCGGTGACTCCAAGACGTAAGCGGTTGGCGCGTGTAGCATACTTTGACTATAACATCTCTCTGGTAACAATTTCATACTATTTATATGACACTGCCTTTGTTCTGAACTTAGATCGTCGGAGTCGCTTTGCGTGGTCGCCAGATCTCCGTCCGATCTCACTGCCAGCATTTTCGCTGGAGATTGGGAGTATCTAACATCTAGAGTAGACTTCATACCGTTTAAACACTCTAGTTCCCATCTTTTACTCGATGTCTTCTCGGCAAACTGCTTTCAGATGAAGATAGACCGTCATTTGAAGAGCTTCTATGCACGTTTCCACTTGGAGACTGTAGTATACTGTCGTTGCTGGCTGGCTGCGGGTGACAATATTTGCCGTAATAACTCTTCAGTGTTCGGTTTCTCGTTTTCTTTATTCTGATTTCTTTTGTCACTAAACAGGTCAACTTTGAATCTTCTCCTGACCGGCCTCCGAACCCTCGACGGGTTTTCTGACAGCCAAATTGTAACTATCCTGATAATTACTGCATTCTATCGATTTCTTTGGACTATTCACCGTCTTTATAGGGCAATTGAGTTCACTTGACAAATAATTGATGAAATCCTCTTTTGCATATAATTTTAAATAGAGCCTGTGATGGAAAGATGCAAGCCAATATGCGAAAAAGCTTTTGTTGTCCGACATTTTTAATTTATATTTGATGCCTATTTTGGACAGCCCCGAATAGGCGTTTGGCATAATATATAGGCTTTTTTTGTTATAATAGAACGTATGAATGTGATGCCACGGCAGACTCTGTAACACTATGCGAACAGTGTTGGATGTTTCTTCGGAGATGTTATTTCTGGAATATAGTGTGACACCTCTCGGTCCTATTGAAAGCCACACGTCTCTACAGAAGCCGTCTCTCGTAGCCCAAACCGCTGAATAGAAATGTGCACCATAGTCCCTAAATGTTTGAGCTAACGTTATATAGTTTATTATGGCCTTGCTCTTCTCCAACCCGCGTCGAGATTCGTGAGCCCGCTTCATTTTCAGCTTAACATCAGCCATATCAGGTGTTATCATGAATTCTGGCAAATAATGTTCTAGTAGAAAGTAATCAGCGGTGCCATGTTCTCTGTAGTTAAACTCCCCAAACTCTATATGTAATGCATAACCGGCGAGGAGTATAAGATTTTGTATCGTCGATACCATTTGTCCTTCTAAGGTTGCTCGTCGTAATTGCAAGTACACTCTATACCTCCAGTCACCACCTTGTATAGTATTTGAGATATTTTTGGGCAAAGAAAAATTTAATTCTCAAAAATAATGTCATAGAAGTATCCTCAACATTGTTTTTGTTTTTCATATTTTTATGCCATGAATCAGGAGCCACCTTCTTTAACTTATAATCATCTGGCAGAAATATGAAATCACCAGTAATTAATATAGCAATACCGAGCATAAAGTTATGTTCATATTTCTCACTGTACACTAAAGCTTCAAATATCTGTCCGGCCGTCACAGTGTTTGAATCACATACAACATCTACTTTCTGCCCGTTCAATAAAAACAACATTGATTGTTCGTTTCTCAGATGTCGATGATATGCTTAAATCAATATGTTTAGCTGGTTGTGAAGCCCTCACTATGAATTCTGGGTCCGACGCATCCATCTTTTCCTTTCATTGTATCTGCTTTATAAAGCCGGGAAGCTGCTCTCTGAACTGGTTTTCCTCTTCTAAAATTGGTATTATGGCTTTCCTTAGCAACTTAAACACCATCGTTAAGACCTGTTAGGGAAACTGCATTGGTCGACAAGCCTTCAATCTGTGTGCTGCAGGCGATATTATGTGTTGAGTGAGCATTACTTAAACCTCCTAATCTTGGAGTATCAAACAAACTAAAAACTGCTTTCCTTTGATTCCTTGGTAGTCTGCAGCTTGGGAAAAGGTTCCTTTTCATTGGGTGATTTAAAGGTGTTAATGAAATTCCTCGGATGTGTACTGACTTTGAGCTCTGAAGAATCTTGTGCTTTTCCAGTCTTCATAGTATCAAACTTATGATAGTCTATAACAGGACTGAAAGTTACAGATGTTGCAGAGCACGAACTACGTCCAGAATCTTCGTCGCAATGTCGAGGCATTTTACTGTAAAGAATTAATTATAATTTTAACTTAGCACATTCACTTTTCATAATATGCATAGAGAATGTTATAATTGAATATATTTCGTGAAGTTAACATTCAAAACGTAAAAAAAAAATATGTTAAAGTTCTTTGTTTATAATAGTTCCTGGTGTGATATGCGTCATTTACTGCATAATAGTTAATGAGAAAGTTTATACATTCTATGCGTGAGAAATAACTTGCGATTAGACAAAAACGTTAGCTTTTAAAGTTGTTTACCTTGATAACATAGTCATTCAATAAAAACATGAATAATTTGTTAGAAAATCATTACTTAAATCAGTTATAAATCTATTTCTTTTAGAATGTAAGTATTAAAATATTTACTTACGGAATGATTTATAATTATTCGATGGAATAAACAATATATTTGCTATTACTCTATATAATATTTAATATCAGTAACATTTTTATAGTACGTTGTGTTTACAAAACTTCAAAAAATCGAAACAACGTAAATTCCACCTGTTGATAGCGTCAAGTAGTTCTTCACTTGCTCACTATACATTTTGATTTTTTACAACTTAACTGTCTGTCCGTCTCTTTCGTTCACATAGAAAGACAGAGTACAAAGCTGAATATAAAATATTAAATAAAAATAAAATAATAACCATTTTGCACAAGAAACTATTAATTATAAGATATTTTTTTAAATAAGAAAACATTAGGGATCGAACTGTTTATTACTTTTTGATTTAATTCAAAAAATAAACAGCTTTAAAAATCAAATAAAGTTTTTTAATTTAATTAACTTATGTATTATAAGAACCAAAAATATAGATTTAACGTGAGTCAAATCTTTTTTAAGGAGTATAAGTTCAAAAAAAACCTGGATACATACTTTTATATAAGTGCAAACTGCAATTCAAAATAATCATACTCCTGTCAACGTCACACTGTTTAGATTTTCTAAATGGTACTCCGCAGTCCGTGCTATGTAAGATCAGTTCGGTGTAACGCGTAAAAATTGTAGGAATTGTTATTACCAGTGGTTTTCTAGAAATGTAAACATCAAAATGTCTACATTAATTCAATCATATGAACAACAGTATTCTATACTCACGGCTGATATTACTGCGAAAATAGGGCGACTTAAGACAGCTCACGAAGGTATATCAAAATTGATTTCAGAAAAAACATTTACAATAATACATGGAATTTAATGTTTTGTCTTATCATATTTTTAATAACGTAATTCTTAAACAACAAGGGTTTTTTTTGCTTCAAAAAGGCAATTCTAAGCAGAGTTACATAGTAAAACAATTTCATTTTCAGATGATCGCGATCAATTATCAAGAGAGATTCAATCAAATTTCGAAGAGGCTAATGATTTGGTATGCTTTGAACGTTCATAATTAAATGTTTGTTATTATTTCATCATCATACTATTCCATTCAGTAGATGCAGCATTATCTTTGATATCTGAAGATGATAAATGTTCTCAAAATTTACTTAAAAATATCGACTACTTTATAATTTTTCTTGAAACAATAATTTTCAAATGATATCTAACTGAATCATCTGAATAATTGCATAACATATTTTAAGCAACTTCTTCATTAATGTTCATAAAACAACATTTTTTTCAAATATCTAAGTCACTATATAATAACTTTTAAATATAGTTGGAGCAGTTGGAACTAGAATCTCGTGGTTCCGGTGGAGGGTCAAGAGTGCCGGCCTACCGCGCTGAATTGCAACGAGTCAGGGATGAGTTCAGATCGGCGGTCACCAATAGTGCTACTTGTAAGTTTAGTTACTATTCTTCTTCTACCTGGCAATTTCCCAGCTATAGCCATCTGTCTGCCTTACATGTTGTGAATAGTTTTGGCTATTTGTTTTTACAACTGGCCGCCTGCCTGACATCATTCCTCTTTTGGGAATCAACATTAATCAGTGATGTCTAAATACTCTTACAAAGTACATATGACTTGGAAAAATCACATTGGTACTTGCCTGGGTCAGGATCGAACCCGTGCCCTCAGGCATGAAAGGCAGGCCTTTTAACCATTAGGCCACCACTGACCCAAGTTTGGTTACTATTCTATGTGTTCTAAATAAAGATATGTTATAATATTATGTAATATTCAGTATTTTGCAAGATTATTGATGACTGGTCTATTTATAATTTTTTTTTTTTGGATATCCATGTATAAATTATTATTGTGAATAAAAAAAAAATGTAACTATGCAACTAATGTTGTATAAATGTAACAACAAATAACTTATTGTTTGTTTAAAAAAAGAAACAATTTGCAAGATTTAAAAAAGTTAAATGTGGGGTGACACTTAATAAACATAACTTTTGCTTTATTTACTAATGATACTACTATATATTAGTTATACTGGCTCAATATTGTTAAAATAATAATATGTTGTCAAGTGTATGTAATGTAGGTAGATTACTTTATTATATTCGTCATCAGCCTATCAGAGTCCACTGCTAAGCAAAGACCACATGGAGAAGGTTTGAGCATTAATCACCACACTTGCTCAAGACGGGTTGCTGATTTCAAACTTACAATTGTGATGTTTGCCTTCACCGTCTGTTAGTGGTGTCTTAAATACTCGTAGAAAGTACATATGACTCGAAAAAAATCACATTGGTACTTGCCAAGATCGAACCCTCGCCCTCGTGCACTAGAGGTGATCCCTTAACCACTAAGCCACCACTGATTATTATATTAGTTGTTGTCATTAAAATTTTTGCTTCATAGCATAATTCATACATGACAATGTTTTTAGAATTTTATTGAATACTAAAGATACTTTATCATATACAAATTCCAGATAACATAGACCCCGAGGAATATGAGGATTGGTCGATGGTGAATGAACAGAAACAGAAGTTATTGGACAGTACAGAACGTCTGGAGCGAACGGGGAAGACATTGAACGAGGGCTACCGAGTGGTGTTGGAGACAGAACAAATAGGAGCAGCCGTGTTACAGGACCTCAACCTGCAGAGAGAAACCATACAGAGATCTAGAACACGGGTATGCAGTACATTTCAGATATGAATCCAATTAAAAAATAACTTTTCTTGGGTAGGTAAGGGGCTGTACATTAATCACGTGAGGCTTGAAAGGGGGGGGGGGGGGGAGGGGTTTGATAAAAATCACGGAAATAACACAAGGGGGAGGGGGGGTGTAGTAAGATATCTCGTGTTTTTATTTTTTCGTCTAACGAGCGATTTTTAAACAAATATTAAGCGGCATTGGTGTAGACATTTTTATTAAAGTCCTTAATTTCAGAATAAAATAAGATTATAGTTTATACCTGTATTAAATTAAGATAATATTCAGAAAATTTTAAGATTCGTTGTAGGTAGTAAAAAATACACGTGATGTTGAGAAAGGGGATGGGGGGGGGGGGGGTGGTCTTAAACCTCACTACGTATCACCAATGGGGGCGGGGGGGTTAAAAAAATGATAAAAAAAGATCACCTGATTAATGGACAACCCCTAATAGGTTATAATATGTACATCTTAGCGCCATTTTTTTTGCGAAATTAGGAGAGTGCGACATTAAAATCACCGACTAGAAAGCGTTGAAATCACTCTTGGCAAATTTTTCACTAATAAATGATTTTACTACAAATATTTGAGAGCACTCGATGAGCTATGGCCACAGATATTCGTATCGTAAGCTGACATATTTAATCGAGAATATCTTTATGATGCAGATGGCCTTGTTTTAAATACCTTAGCTTATTGTATAGACCAGTGCCGATAGCTTTTAAAACATAATTAAATTATAGTAGAATGAAACTCATTAGAAAAGGAGGGGAAAATTATAAAAATTTAAGGAAAAATAATTTACGGGCGATCTGAGTTCGGGAAGGGTATGGGGATGGGTATTTAAGGGTAAAGGGTGGGTTTTCTCGATTTCCGGCAAAAACTAAAAGTCCTACGGAAAAACGTTATATTTCAAAGTTGTAGGTAATAAAAAGATCTAAAACTTTTGTACTAACATTTTTTTTCACATAACCTCAAATTTTATGTGAAAAATTCGAAAAACCAAGTTTTTGGTTTTTATTTTTATCTCTTACTAGTCGGCAAATTAATTCATTGATTTTCAAAGAAATCGCAGTATTATGAGATTTTCATTCAATCAATCAACTGATCGACCCAACTGATCGTCCAACTGATCGTCCAACTGGTCGACCAACTGATCGTCCAACTGGTCGACCAACTGATCGTCCAACTGATCGTCCAACTGATCGACCAACTGATCGTCCAACTGATCGTCCAACTGATCGTCCAACTGGTCGACCAACTGATCGACCAACTGATCGTCCAACTGGTCGTCCAACTGATCGTCCAACTGGTTGACCAACTGATCGTCCAACTGGTCGACCAACTGATCGACCAACTGATCGTCCAACTGATCGACCAACTGATCGTCCAACTGATCGTCCAACTTGCTTATATCTAAAAACAAACAGGGTCTAACCCTCGCAGCGTCTACTCAGCGTTACACAATACAATATTTGAATCCAGTTCCGGTTATGAATCCCTACTAATATTATAAATGCGAAAGTAACTCTGTCTGTCTGTCTGTCTGTCTGTCTGTCTGTCTGTCTGTTACTCTTTCACGCCTAAACCACTGAACTGATTTTAATGAAATTTGGTACTGAGATAGAGTTGACCTTGAGAAAGAACATAGGATAGTTTTTATCCCAGACTTTTGAAACGTTCTCTTGGAAACGCGATATAACCGAACTCCACGCGGGCGAAGCTGCGGGGCGGGGAAAGCTAGTCTTTAATATATGTAGATACAAAAATATAACACGAATCTCATATAAATTTCTTTAACACGAACGAGAAAAACTTGTACGAGAATTTACTAAGAATATAGAAACTCTGGATAAAAAATATATTTACTGGCTGACCTTTGTGGATGCAACATCTATGCGTGATAATTAATTGTTAAGAAAAAATGTTGGTTAAATGAAGCCATAATATATATATATATATATATATATATATTATGGCTTAATATTTATATATATACATATATATGTATATATAGTTTTTGCAGCCTAATGTAAATTTCTGTAAATTACCTAAAAGGGGGACTATCTGGAGAACTTCCAGAGTACACAACTATTAAAAATAAATTAGAAAGAGTATTTCCAAAAGATATCGAGTGTCATTTCATTAAAAGACTCATGATTATTTTATCCAAAAATGGTACTTCAAGTAAAAAACTTATATTTTTTTCTTCACCATCGAAAAATAGAGATTTCAACAAATAGAAAACAGCAAATTTTTGAAAATAGCTGATATTTTGACGGGTAATTTTTCTATTGAAAATGAGGCTGATTTTTTGGTATTTATTCTAAATAAGCTGAAAAAAATTAATATTTTTAATCAAATAAATTACAGTGCATTTGGAATATTAAAAGGAAAGTTTTCACCTAATTTCTAAACAAAAAATTGTTTTTTGGAAGGGATAAAAATAAAATCCAAAAAACTAGGTTTTACGAATTTTTCACATAAAATTTGAGGTTATGTGAATAACATAATAATACAGTAGTTTTAAATCTTTTTATAACCTACAACTTCACCATATAACGTTTTTCCGTAGGACTTTTAGTTTTGCCGGAAATCGAGAAAACCTATTTTTTACCCTTAAATACCCATCCCCATACCCTTCCCGACCCCAGATCGCCCGTAAATTATTTTTCCTTTAATTTTAATAATATTCCCCTCCTTTTGTAATGACTTTCATTCTACTATAATTTATTTTCACTTTTCATTAATTTTAAAGGCTTCTGCACTGGCCTAGGATGGCATTTAGGATCTATTTATTTCAACTACGTCTTACCACTACAGCCATCTGTTACAAAAAGGCGGAAGCAAAATTGTTCTTCTATCAAGTCTGTGAGAATAGCTAGTATTGTATTCCTTTGCTGTAAAAACTAAACAGATTTTAAAATATTTATATGTGGCTAGTTTTTATGAAGAATGGAGAATATATATGAAGTGATATTAAATAAAAAGCTGTTGCTTATGACGGATTATCTTATAAAGATTGGTTATATTATTTATTATTAATATATTGTGATATCTAGCAAAATTATACATATATTAATGTCGAAAAGTTTATAACAATAATCTGAAGGAAAAAGTATATAAATCATCAACAATATGTATAAATGGTTCCATTTCCTCAGCTACGTGAGACGGATGAACAGCTGTCTCGCTCTGGTCGCCTCATGAACATAATGGTGACCCGTGCTCTGCAGCAGCGTGCTGTGCTGGCTGCTGTGCTGCTCGTGCTGGCCCTACTAGCAGCACTAGGGGCATACCGTGCTGTTACTTAGCAGTCCACAAAACTGCAAGTGTCCACACAGGTATCAATCACACATTCCATACCTCTGTATAATGACTTACCTGATAGTATATTCAGTATTGAACAAATTCACTCCATTTCTGCCGTGATGTCTTTTAAAATATTTATAAGAAAAATTTAAAACTATTTACCACACATATCTTTAATTTAGCATCAAAATGAACATTTACTCAAAGATTAGTTCTTTAAGTTAGTAAGTCAACTATTATGTTAAAAATAATTCTTTATTGTCTCAATTTATGTTAGTGAAGGGTATCCTTTTTAGGCAAAAAGTGCGTGAGTCAGGACACCATAAATATTATGTGTTTGCATAGAAGTTCTTTTTGAAATTTTGTGTTTAAAGAGAATCTTGAAACATCTATATTCTATTTAATGCATATTTAACTTTGCTATTTTAATTGCAGTAGTATAATATCTGTTTTCCTAATGTCCTTATTATATGCAGTCATTTTAGAATCTAATTTAATTATGAACTCTCTATTATTTGCTCTGGAATAATGAAGCATTATTTTACTTATTCTTACAAATAATATTTCATTTATCTACCTTTTTCACTCATTTGATTATTGTGAATAAAGATTGTTATAGATCAATAATTTAATGGTAATTAATTATTAATTCCAGGATGTGAAGAGTGAGCGGTTGGTTCATTCCCTGGTATATTGGCTGTATATAACATGCAGCAAGATCCTGCCTTCAGGTCTCCGAGTCTGGTTTGTGCTCCGATGTGTGTGGGCCTTTCTCTACTACAAGTATGAGAACCTGTGTTGCTAAAGACTATTTAACTGCTTTTAATGAGTCGGTTTTCACTGTTAGCTATTTAATGATAGTCAAATTAAGGAAAAAAAAATATCAAATCACTCAACCTGACTTTGAACTAAGTGTTTGTGCTTATATTTATCAAAGAACACAATAAAATATCATTCACATACATATTATGATTAGTAGAAGATTTTAAATAATATAGCAAAAGATTTAAGTGTTGGCTATGTTGAAGACATGTTTTTACTGCGACTTTGTCTGAATGGACTTTGGAATTGGTTTCAATAGAGATAAATGTAGTATGTTAAGACAAAATATATGATAGCCACCTGACAGCGACATCTAGTGTCTCACGTGACTTTATACACTTTATAGATATATGTAACAGATATTATTCATCTATCATACACTAGCTCTCCGCCCGCAGCTTCGCCCGCGTTGAGTTCGGTTATATCGCGTTTCCAAAAGAACCTTTCAAAAGTCTGGGATAAAAACTATTCTATGTTCTTTCTCAAGGTCAACTCTATGTGTGTACCAAATGTCAGTAAAATCAGTTCAGTGGTTTAGGCGTGAAAGCGTAACAGACAGATAGACAGACAGACAGACAGACAGAGTTACTTTCGCATTTATAATATTAGCAGAGATTAATTATACGGAGTTTGGAAATAAATTGTATCCTATTTCTTATTCTGATATCTAAGCTTCGTCATTGTAATGTTTCATCACTAAGTCGCAATAAAGATTTATAAATCTTCACCAACTTTTGCATTTATAGTATAAGTGCTATTTTGTATAAATTTTCATAAACAAAATATTAATCATTATTTACTTGAGAGATATTTCATATTAAATGTCTACTGTATATTACGATCAGTGCTAGTATTTTAACACTAAGTCCACAGCAGGTCTTAGTTAAGGATATATTTGTTTATATATAGTAAGTGACTGTTATGTACTAGGATATATAAATGTTTAATGTGAGTTGTTAATAAATTATACTTGAAGCATGCCTGTATTTTTCTTATTTGATAACAAATATTAGAATAAGACCCAGTTTCACCAATCAATGTTAAATAAGTAACACCGTGTTAAGGCGTTTGATGCTTTGTTAGATGTATCGAGCGTACCACCACGCACAAATGTCCGTTTAAATGTCTTAACAACCCACTAATATTAATTGCTGTTCTGGAGCTCCGTCTAATGGCTAACAGACTGTTAATGCATTGTCAAAACTCAATTGTCCAATCACAGCCCTGATTTTCTTGTAACCATAGTAACGTCATCTGTTTTGTCAGTTTCGACTATTTCCTTGTAATCTATCTATCTATCTATATATATATATATATATATATATATATATATATATATATATATATATATATATATATATATATATATATATATATATATATTAATAAAGTGGAAAGATTTGTTTGTTTATTTGTTATGAATAGGCTCCGAAACTACTGGACCGATTTCAAAAATTCTTTCACCTTTGGAAAGCTACATTATTCCCGAGTAATATAAGCTATATAATATTTAAATAAAAATTAGGGATCCTTACTAAAACTCCAATAATGTAACCCAAGGTGTAAAAAAATGATCTGAAAAATTCCTTACGTCGCGTGCGCTGCGAAAACTATTGATGATAGAACAAAATCATTTACTACGACTTAGCAGAACTCATCATCATCTACAAAAAGTGTCGCGACAGCATATGTCTAAATATTATAGTTATGTCACAGTAAGCGGTTTTTTATTCTAAAAATTTAATTTATATGCCGCCGCTTGAATTATTATTTGTACCTTGGTATTAATCCTTATCAAATTAAATTACTTTATATTCTAGACGGCTTCAATACCTTTTTATAACTCTTTGAATTATTCAGTTCGAACATTTCATTCGGAAGATATCACGAGTTTAAAAATGCAAGTATAAGAAAAAAGTCGCGTGGTTGAAGCTCATCGCGCTCAGCTAGCCAGCATGCGATGTAGGCTCTATGTAAGCGTCACTGGGGTACGAGGGGGGAGTCAATCACAACTAATATTATAGATGCGAAAGTAAGTCTGTCTGTCTGTTACGCTTTCCCGCTTTAACCTCTCAACCGATTTTGATGAAATTTGGCACAGACAATCTTTAGACCCTGAGAAAAAAACATAGGCTACCCTTTATTGCGAAAAAGGGGATGAAGAGGTTGAAAGTTTGTATGGAATTTCTTAATTTTAAAAGATATAACCATGAAAATTTTTATTGAAGCACTTAATAAGATATATTTAAACATTAATTGTTCTAGCGTTTTTGAAATTTCGACCAGTGAGGAGGTGAAATAAGGGTTGAAAGATGTACGGGTTTGTACATTAAAACTATGCGCTGGTTCGGTTATTCACTATTTATTTTCTACACGAATTACAATTCTGAACACTGTTAATAATCTTCCGTTTCACTGTTCGCTGTTGAAGTCTTCCGTAGTTCTTGAGTTCCGCTGACTGATGTTCTTCCGATGAATTCCGCTCACTGACTGCGCTGAGTCGGCCCGTCGGCCGGCCTTTTATACCTGCGCGGTGATCTCACCGCGCCTTGCCGGTGTTTGAGCGAGCGCGCCGGCGCTCGCCCAATCAGGAGCTTGCGATGTTGAGCGTAGTTGCGTATATGATCATTTCACAGTTACAAGTTGTGTCTTATTTTACATTATACATATTTTCTATATTATTTATTTACTATACTTAGCTGTTTATTTACATTAATTTTACGCTATTTCTTATATTACATATTACATAGTTTCTATCGCTATTTATTTTAACTATATATTTTATTTCTATATTATTTCTCTGATGCTATCCCGCACATCTCTCCCGCCGTACGACTCGTCGTACCCTTCGGTGCGGGTTCCTTTGTTGCTATTGGCAGGATCACGAGTTTTTCTGACTGGACGACGTAGTACACCTCCCTTGGTCCGCACGTCCACCGTACGTACCACGCCGTCTGGTCCTGGATACGTCGCTATCACGCGACCACGAATCCAAGTGTTCCGGGGTAGGTTGGTGTCTATGATTAGCACCAGGTCATCTACTTGCACTTCAGGTCCCCTTCCGTTTGGCTCCCGCCGGTGTTGAAGCTCGGGGAGATACTCTTTCACCCAGCGGGACCAAAACTTATCCGCCAGTTGTTGTCCCGCTCGCCAGCTCGACGTGGAGATGGCGTCCTTCTCATTAAATGTTCCTGGTTGGGGTACCCGACCTGGTCCGCCTAACAGGAAGTGGTTAGGCGTGAGCGCCTCTGGATCTTCCTCATTTACCGAAACATGTGTCAATGGCCGACTGTTTACTGTGTACTCCACTTCCGCGAGTAGCGTGTTCAGTACTTCCTCTGTCGGGTGGCGCTCGTTTAAGGTGGCGGTCAGGGCTGTCTTCACTGACCGCACCATTCTCTCCCACGCTCCACCCATGAATGGCGCTCCTGGAGGGATGTAACGCCAGTTGATTAATTTCTGCGCGGCCTCTTCCTTGGTTGCCCCGTCAATCGCTTCTCTCATTTCCTTGTCCGCCCCTTTAAGGTTCGTCCCGTTGTCGGACCAGATCTCCGTCGGGTATCCTCGGCGAGCGAACATTCTTCTTAGTGCCATTACTGCTGAGTTCGTGGTGAGAGAGCCGGCGACCTCGAGGTGTATAGCTCGAGTGGTGAGGCACGTGAAAATTGCCACGTACCTCTTTTGTCGAGCTCTGCCCACTGTTATTGCTAGTGGGCCGAAGTAATCAACCCCCGTGTAGGTGAAGGGTCGCTCGTGGTGGGCTAAGCGACACTCCGGTAAGTCTCCTGTTCTTGGGCATGGCGGTTTCTGAGCTCTCATCCGGCAGAGTAGGCAATTCTTTATCAATGTCTTTATCGTGGGGCGTATTCTTAGCACCCAATATCGTTGTCGGCATTCGTTTAGTGTCGTTTCTACGCCGGCGTGATGGAATTGCTTATGGATATATGTTATCCATAATCTCGTGGTCGGATGGTCTCCGCAGAGCACCATAGGTCTTTTGAACGCGTCCGTCATGTCTTGGACCGCGTCAATCCTGCTCCGGATGCGTATTGCCCTTTTGCTATATTGGACACTCAGCTGGTGGAGACGACTCTCCTTGTTGATTTGTTCGCCGTTCTTTAGTTTGGATATTTCTATGGCGAAAGAATCCTCTTGTGATGAGCGCATTAGCAGCTCTTCCGCCGTTCTCAGTATCTCCGCCGGGATTGAGAGCAGTTTTTTCTCCACGGTCAGTGGTCTTTTTCGTTCTCTCTGCGGCCTACTCGTAATCAGTGTCCTTTTCTTGATCCATTCTGGATCCCTTTCTTTGTTCCTTTTGTTCCGAGCGTAGTGTACCTCCTGGTTACTTGTCCTGCATAAGTGTATGAACTGGAGGACTCTGGCCGTAGAGCGTCTTAGTCTCGTCCAGCTGGAGAATCTAGCAGGGTCTGGTAGCCCTTCCGCTAGTCTTGTTGCATTCCTGGTGCTCACGTGGTGTGTTTCTCTCTTCGCTCGAAGATTCTTCCGAGGCTGGCGTGGGTGTTTCGGTTGGCCAGGAGGCCTCGGGCTCGTACAGGAACTCCGGTCCCTTGTACCACCTGTGTTCTGTACCGAAGTTGTGTGGGACATCCCTTGTCGCGTCATCTGCGACATTTAACTTTGATGGCACCCACCGCCAGCTGTTCGATTCCGACCCGTCTTCGATGGCCGCCAGTCTATGGGCCACGTATGGTTTGTAAGACCGTGACCCTTTCCTTATCCACGTGAGTACCGTTTTGCTGTCCGACCAGAACACTGTGGTGTCGGGCTTCCTCTCGTGCTCGGCCACTACCGTTGTGGCTAGTCTTGTGCCCATGACAGCGGCTTGCAGCTCTAGCCTTGGCACTGATGTGAGCTTTAAAGGCGCCACTTTCGCTTTCGCTATGACTAGTGACACCCTAATCTCTCCGCTTGGCATCATTGTTCTCCAATACAACACCGTTGCGTAAGCTGACTCACTCGCGT